AAAATGTTACAGAAACACAATATTTAGCCTTCATCAGTAATTCCAATTGTTCATCCAGATTGCAAATCAATTTTTCGACGTTTTAACATGCTCAATTCTAAATCGTTTTTTTTTTTTTAAATTTTCATCATAATTATTTTTTATGCTCTTTAAACATTAGGATAATCCTTATAAATTCTGAAACTTAATATTACATAGTAAAGAAATCGGGTAAAATTACAGCTCTGCTTTTTAATGACATTTTTGATAGACAAATATATGAATAAATAAAAATAATAATTTTGATGATAAAAATCAACATAGGTATTTAAACCATTTATTTGGCAATTTCTACATTCATATGGTAATGTTTTGCTAGAAATTTTGGGTTCAAAAATTATAGTTCTTATTACCACACATTTAGTAAAAAATGCAAAGCATAAAAGTAAATTTAACCGAGTAAATAGTTTTTATGTCATGCCGTATGGTTATCATGATAAAATTACTGAATGTTTTCACCTTCACTAAATTTTCTCCAAAATCATTACTAAAGTTCTTCGGTAAAAATTACCGAGAAATTTCCTATGCATTTTTCCGAGAGTGTTCCCAGAGCATAGAATTTCACTATATTCTATTAGTTTTAAAAGTATATTTTTTCTCACTCTATTTTTTTTTTCGAAATAAACGATTATAAACTATTTATTTAAAGTTATTTCGTTGAAAAAAGTTAGAAGCTGGTGGAAAACGTGCAGCTATTTAAATTAAATTAAAAAGAAATATATTGTATTAAATTCGATAAATATAAAAGAATGCATTATAAAACTCGAATTTAAATGACTAATCCTACCTCTATCAGCTAAATCGCAACTCTTGGGTCTCAAAACTTTCTTATCAATTAAGGGAAGAAAAATTTTTGAAGTAGTTATACTTTGTTTGAAAAAAAAAATTTAAAAAAGAAAAAAATATATATTATAACTAACAATGATAATTGGAAATTTTTTACACCTTTCCGCAAACCTGCTTAGTGTTAATCCCTTAAAAGTGCCATTAAAAAAATTAACATATTTTTTGAATAAAATATTTAATAATGTAATACTAAGCAGAAAAATCATTTTTTTTTTTTTTTTACTTTCTTTTATTTTGCCTAAAACTATTGATAAAGATGTCATTTTCGTAAAATCTAATCGAAAACTGGTAAAAGGGTTCAAAAACTGAAAGAGAGAATAAAAAAAACTGCTTTTGTTGAAATATGATTTGGTTTCTGAAAAACTGCCAAATGCTTGATGATATATTTTAAATTTCAAGATGCTGAATATTCTATTTATTTCGAAATGCTGACAAGTTGGCCACCAGAGGGAGCAGTTTGGGGGAGAATTTTGGGGAGGGGTTTCAGGAGTGAGTCCCACCAGAGGATATATTTTGTCGTGTTATATATATTTTTGTGTTGAAAGTGTTTTACTTGAGTAAATTTTTTACCTACCATGAACTCGCTAAGGATACACGTAAATGCGAAAATAGCTCCTAAGCATCAACAGGTAAATAACTTGTTTTCATTTAATTTTATTAGTGAGAGGTAATTTTTTGAGTAAATTAATATTTAAAACAATGATATGTTTTAAAAAAACATTTTTTTTACCTTGAAAAAACAAATATGAAAAAATTATCTATACTTACTATTTCTCCATATTTTTTTTAAAAAGAAATCTAAATTGTCATGATTACTTTATCGTATTTTTAGGAAATTATTTAAATTTGAAATATTTCCTGAATTTCTTTTAAATATAGATTTTTATTAATTAGTTTAATAGTTTTCTTGATTGTTTCAATAAATATTACTAATAGATAGTAAAGAAAGTCTCATATAACAAGACATTTTGAAACATTTGTTATTTGTTAAGCATTCTAAGAAATTTTGGTATTAATTTATTAAGACTAAAATTTTCTTTATAAAAATTTATTAATCTATTTGTTAAAGATTTCTCCTCTAAAATCGGGACTTTTGTTATTCTCAAAATAGATCTAATAATTAGTTTATTCCTTGCTTGTGTATTTAAACAAGTATTACAGCTAAAAAGGGAGAGTAAACAACATTTACAGACAAAAATCTCTATCATCTTTTTCTATCTCTTCTTTTAAAAACATTGTCTGTTTGAATATTAAGAAATTATTGGAATTCTTTCAAATGCAGAAATCTATTTTTTAACTAATTAGAAAATTCACAAATGTTTTAAAACTTTCAGAAAAAGTTCTTTTTCTATTTTTAATCATAAGCAGAAATATTTAAAACACACAACATTTTTTTTTTATTTCAGTCCATTTAATATGAACGATAAATCAACTCTTTTTTTAATGAATATTTAATAATGATGCTAACTTTCTCTGCTTTTTGGATCTTAAAAAATATTTTAATTTTAAGATTAATGTAAGATTGATTAAGCAATGTAAGATTAATTTTTTTTAGCGTTTCATTCGTTAAAGAAACAACCTATGCTATAGAGTTAGTACCACAAATGTTTTAAGGAGAATTTTAATTTTGGGCTGAAGCAAATTCTTATTTCTCTATATTTTGAAATTTTTTTTTGATATTTACAAATGAAAAAATTACTTTCACGAATAAAATTTTATATAAAAGAGTAGGCAAATATTGGATTGGTCAACACCCAATCTATAATTAAGGAAACATTCCAATATTAATTATATGGCGTTAAATTTGAAGGAAATTAACAAACGTAAAAATAATAACATAAGTTAATATTTACAAAAAATATACACGTGCAGATCGATATTCAAACATAATTTATTCATTTACAATCACTTTTTTTTATACATTGACAGAATGCAATAATTTTTATGCAAAATGTTGAAATTTAAATATATTATGCTTTTTATACATATCACAGCATTTATTAAAAAAATACGAAATATTCTCACAAAAATATGATGGATACTATGTTTTTGTTACTAAGAGAGGGCATTCAATACAAACTTATTTTTAATTTACAGAAATTTGAAATAAAAAAATATATTAGCATGTGCCTGAATGTTTACAGTTTAAAAATTTGGGATCATCTAACATAATTTTCAATATTTTAATAAGATACTAAATTTCTTGATATACTCTGTCTCATCTGAATTAAAATTTGCAATATAACTAAATTACTTTTTTACCAACATGATTTACTACGTGATAAAAAAATTAAAATTTTACTCAGTTTGGAAGAAATTACTTTCATTTTTTTACAAATTAGTAAATGGTGGTATTTGACAAAAGGCAATATTTTTATTACATATTCATTATTATATTCATTATTCGAAATTTTTCTGGTGCTATTATTTTAAGTACATCACATTTTCAGTTTATTGTAAAGTACACAAAAAAATTTAAAAGGATTACACGCAAATAAAAATTTGAAGCCTTTTCACAAAATAATAATTGTTTTTCAAAACACAGGTTCTTCATTCTCATAACTTGAAACTATATGCATTCCTTGCTTGTAAGCTGTTCTTGAAACTAGTACTTTTGAAGTTTAAAAAAGCTGTTTATAACCTTCTAGGATTCCGGAAATTTCGGCATAATAAATATTTTAATTAGTAGGCTTTTCACTGGTTAAAACAATATTTTTTCCTAAGCTTCTTTCTTGATTAAAGGCATAGAAGTTGTTGGTGCTTTTTGCGCTAATGAAAAAATATTAAAAATAATGTAATTTATGGTTCTAAAATGTATAGGAATTGAAACAATTTTTCAGAAGAAACGAAATTTGAACCCTTGCATTTTTTAAACATAGAAAGAATAATCAAAGGAAATCATATTTTAATCACTCTTTTTAAAATACACTATGAAAAAAAAGAGAAATTTTCATTCGTATGTAGAAACATTTCACCATCTGAAACATTTTTTCGAAGCCAACTATTTATAAGGGGGGGGGGTATATTTTTTATCTTAAGGCACCTTTCAACCATAATGATCTTGAAAAGGAAAGTTTTAATATTTTATAATATTATTATATTTTTGTTGTTGTTAAAATGCGCCAAACACAAGTAGAATTTCTCCTCACGATAAATTTTGAATTGAATTTCATGCAGGGCGACCCTGCAAAAAATTTCAGAAGGTACTGTCAACTGTTAAAATATTTAATGAACAATATGATAATCACTTGGATAGATCAAAGAGTTCGTGTTGAGTCTAAGAGGGCGGAATATGGCTGCTGATAAACACACAAGAAGTATTCATGTGGATGTTATTAAAACTCCGCTTGTGAGGATTGTCTTTTTAACTAAGGTTCATTTGTTTCATAGAAGAAAATTAATCTCTAGCAATGAAACAAATTTAAAATTAAAGGAAAATTTTTAAAAAGATGTGAAAGACTAAAAGAGATAAAAGTCATGTATGTAAAATATATATGAAGAGCTGATCATTACATTGTTTTTTTTTCTTCTTCTCTTTCATTAATAAAAACGATATTCAGTTTTTGTAAACAAATATTAGTTCTCGTTTCTCATCTTTAAAAATAATGTTGCATGAATTTCAAGGCTTTTTAAGACTTGAATATCGGGACAAAGTTTTATGAGAGGTAAACACTAATATAAATTATAAACCTATGATTCAGAGAGTCATTTATTTTACAACTTAATAAATATTGGTGATCTTTTTTATAGGACGTTACTAATGATGTAAATCTTAAAATTGCTATTTAATTTTTTTTAAATTTTTTTCCTTTTTATTTCATTTTTAATTTTTTTTACTTTGAAAGTGAATTTACATGAGTATAAATGAGAGAATCAATATGAGTATAAATGAGTATATTTATTATTCAAAAGATGCATCTCCAGTAAACAAATTTGCAAGTATTATTCTCTCATAAAATTAAATATGATTGAAAATAAATGAAAAATAATTTTAATTTTAAATTTTTTCTTGAAAAATATATTTGCGAAGTCAAATTATATTATTTTATATGAATAGCATTTCAGTTCCTTTTTTGATAATGTTTTTAAAGAGAGATATTTTTTTTCTATTTATTTCATCAGTCAAGTTCAACATCTTCATTGAATGATTCATCTCCTGAAATCGATTGTGTAAGCATTTCACTCGTGAAATTTTAGATCATAGCGTTTTATTGTTACTAATAATTATTATTATTGTTGTTATTATTAGTTATTAATTATTATAAGTTGTTATTATTACTACTTATTATTATTATTACGAATTATTATTAATCTGGTTCCATTAAATATTATTTTTATTATTCTATTAAGCACTATTATATTTGTTTTTATTATTCCTACTCTTTCCTCATTATATATAATAGTGCAACACCTACAGTGTCCGTTTAGTTTTCATTTTTTGGTTTAGATAATAGTATAGTCCTATCATAGTGCAGCACCTACAGTGTCCATTTAGTTTTCAATTTTTTGGTTTATAAACTATGTCATCCGTAAATGGTTACAAAACCATATAGTTCTGTACTCACGTTTTTTTAACCGTACCAAATGCGAACGGTTTGGAAATCGCAAAGGTAAAGAATGTTCTTACCCATAAACTATATGGTTATTCGGATAAACAGACTGCTACCGGTAATTTTACAGTAATTTTAGAATGAAAATTCTTACAACGTATATATTTAACACTTTTCTATCTTTTTACATTTCTTAGATTACGTCAATAGATTCGTATTTAATTAATTAACTTTTTTGTACTTTTTATGCAAATTAACTAAGAGATACGAAACAAGTTTGTTTATGTGGAATATTAACTTTTCTTTCAAAAATTACTCTTCTCCTTAACTACTCCTTAGTTTATATAAACTACATTTTTTATCAAATACTTTTAGAAAAAACTTTTTTTTTCAATAACTAACCCTTTAAAGATTTCTAATTAGTTGCTTTTTTTCAGAAATCCGAAGTGTTTAAGGATTCATCTCGGAGCGTTTCGAAGATTCAGGAAGCTTATGTAAGTATCAACTATTTGAAATATAAATATGTTATTCGATATGCTTGTTGTCAATAAGAGATTAATCCAGTAAGGGAGGTGGGAATGGATGGTGCTTTCTACACTAGGGAGAGCTGCAGGCTCTTTACTGCCCATACTTTCGGGTAAATTTCCTGTTGAATTTTGAGAGCATTTCGCTCACAACATAATCATTGTGCTTTGAGACTTTCTTGCGTAGTATTTCTTGCATACATTGTACTTCTTATCTAATTTATTATTTTTGCTTACAGAGAGTACTAAGTCTTAAACTCGAATTGCCTCTTGCTGTGTACCTTACCATTTGAAGAATAAACATTTGAAAAAAGAATCGTTTTAAAACACTTATTACCTTGTCACCACTATACCAACTTTAAAAATTTCAACCTAAATGATAATTTGCAACATGAGCTTAGTCTCGCATCTGGAACAATATGCTAACACAAATGTATGACAAATGTAAGAACAAGAAGTAATAAACAAGTTAAAAGAGACCAAATCAGGACTGCCAAACGAAAAGCGAGTTCATTCTAAATCTAGCAACCATGGCATATTTTTTAATAGTATATCCGTAAATAACTAATAAAAATTTTCATGTTTAACTGTCCAGAATTACTTAATATTTTTAATATCTTATGAAAAAGAGCTGATTTGTGTTCAGAAATCATATAATTCATTTCTTTTTATTGAAAACAAAATTATCTGTTTGAAATTCCTTCTTCAATATTAAACTTTTATTCAAAAGAATAAAATAAATTTTCAATCAGTTGCTAAGGTTAAGAGACCAACCCCAATTTGAAATGTAGGCTAAATTTTTAATTTCGGTTTTCTTGGTATTCTTTTGTGCTTAACATAGTATTTATTATTCGACATTTCAAAAAACTGTGAAAAACGATCGCTTCATTGGATTAGAAGAAATAGCGCTTTATAATTTTTAAAACTTTTATAGAACTTTCCACAAAACTTTAAAACAATAAAAATACACAATTTGTGGTTTTTAGTCTGTAATTTAAGACTATACAATTGTCAGTATTTAGATTTTTAGAAATTTAATTTTTTTCTTAGTTTAAACAGATTAGAAGCGGTTCTGTTGCAGCTAAAAAATACTTTTAACCTAGATTGCTCAAAACAAAGATATTTATCAAAAATTTAAAAATATATAAGTGTCTATTATTTAGCAATTTTTTAAAAATTGTTTTATTGAATTTATGATTAGAATTTTTCCCCTCCGTCTCTACCCCTTTGACAGTTGAGTTCGATCGACTGTAAAGAGGCCTGTTAAGAATATATTTCATAGGCTGTAAAAAAAAAATTTTTCAATATAGTATTTTGATCAGTATGGGTTTCAATCGCATTATTTAAATAACTTTTTATTTGATGCAAACTAAATTCATTCATTTTAAATTTTATCCGTTAAAATAATAAATGTGTATTATCTTGTATTAGCAATAACATTGATTAATTAACTCTATTTCTCATTTTTATGTGTTTATTTAGGAAATTAATCGGATGGAAGAAGATCTGTATAACAGTACAGAAAATTACGTAAGTATTATTTATTTTATATTCTGAAAGACTGACTACTCACCGTTATTTTATTTTCTAATTAATTATTAATACGAATATTAACACATATTTTACAGATTCTAACAGAAATTCAAAAGAAAATGAGGAAATCGGACAAGTATTATGTAAGTATTGTTTCAAAAAACTTTTCTCACGAAATTTCAATATTTAAAATATATTGTCTTGTTTGAAAGTTTTGTTATTATTGTATATATTCCTATTTGGAAAGTGAAATCAAGAACTCAAAGTTTCAAACATTTCACAACTAGCTAGAGTTCTCAAATCTTTACTTATCCAGTGATGAAATTGTGGTTTATAGTTTCAGCACTTTGGATACATCATCCGTAAAATTTTTCTCTCACAAGATCCATTTATATCGCAAATTTTACTGTAATATTTAATTTATTACAGTTATTCAGCTATTTTACAATGATTATGACTGTTAGTAACCACAGTTTATCAGATTTTTTTCCGTAACCTGTTTCCGTAAAAATGAATGCCACGGTAAAAATCACCGGTAATCTAATTATCGATACATTTTACCGTAATTTGATCCTGAATTTCTTACAGTGAAAACATATCGGCATGATTATCCCTAAATGAAATACATGCATTATAAAAAAAAACTTCTTTTAATATCACGTTTCCGATCAATTGAATGAACCATTAATCAAAAAATTTTTTTATTTTTGAAACTTAGGAGACTAAATCTTCCTACTGTTTTAAAATTTTATCTGCCACAAATACAATTATTTTTCAGTCTTCTTAATAAAAGCATAATTTTTTAAATTGTTATTTTATTTTTTATTAATTGGTATATTTTCAGAGCTGTGCAGAATACGAAATGATCAAGAGGTATGTTTATTCAATATATTTTAAAAACAATACTGCTATTTAGCAAAATTTAGTTATTTTTCTACTTTTTATTTAAAAATGAATAAAATTATATTATTTTACTTTTCGTTATTTTTGGCAATATTGTCATACTTGAGCCACGATGGCTGAGAGGACAGAACGTTCGCCATCAAAGGAGGTGACACGGGTTCGAACCCCATCGATGGCTGTCAATACAAATTCCGCATCCAGCTTGCACCGACCACAGTATTGACATGAAATATCCTCAGTGGTAGACGGATCATGGGTTAGAATTTCTTTGCCGTCAGGCTAACTGTGGAAGCTTCTCGTAGTCTTCGGAGTTGAACATTTGTAGTCGTAAACCTAAAAAGTGGGTCGGCTGTTTAAAGACGGTTATAAAATTAAATATTGTTATACTTACTGTCTTTCTCTGGAATTAACTTGTAAAAATTCTAATAGAAACGTAAATAATATTTCAGCGCTATTTAAATCTTCTATTAAGTTCTAAATTTTTCAAAACTTTTCGAATGGATAGTTATGTTTTAGTTTTAATATTCAAAGTTTCTAAATAGAACAAAATCATAAAGCATTTTAAATCATTTATTAAACTCTATGTAATTCAATATTAATATATTTTTAGAATAATATTGAATTGAATTAATTTGAATCTTTTATTCAACTCTAAATATTTCAATATTTCTTGAATTGAGCGAGATATTTTAATTTTTGTATGAACATTTTTTTTACTATTTTTTATTTTGAAAGTGCTGATTATCATCTAATAAATATTTTTTCTTTATTTAGAAACTTGTAACGGAACAAGGAACTCTTTTAAAGAAGTTAACGGATACTGAGATGCCCACCAAGTCGGTAAGTTTAAAATATATTATGAGCCCCAAGCGCGAAGGTTCAAACATATTTCTAATTATTTTTTCAATTATTCCGAACATATATTTAATCAATGATTTTTAAAAGCTGTGATATTCAGAAGGAAAAAAAATCCCTCAGATTTAATAATGTAAAAAGGCATGAGATTTTAGTATACTTTTTATAGTTTGGTTTTACAGGAATTGTCAAGAGATTAGTTTTTAAACTAATTTCAACATGATGACATTACTGACAATGAATTGGTCAACAAGCATTAAAAAAAAACTGTACCTCATATTGAAAACTTGATAAGTTTAATATAAGTCTAAAGAACAAAAACAAAATGCACCTTTAGAGACTAAAACTTTGGTTCAACAAGCTGTCTATTTATTTATTAAACAAGAATACATTT